TCGTCCTTGGGGTTTTCTTGGGCCGTCGTGGGGCCCTCTTATGCCGTCTGGGGGCTCTCTGTTTTGGAGTCTCTGGGCCCTCTTGGCCGTATGGCAAGTGTCTGGGGGCCTTCGAAGGCCGTCTTGGGTCCGACGGGAGGGCCTCTTGGGCCGTCTTGGGGCCGTCTGGGATGCTTCTTTGGCAGTCGTGGGACCTCTTTGTCCATCTTGGGATCGTCTTGTGGGCCTCTTGGGCCGTCTTGGGGCTATCGTGGAGGCTTCCTGGGGTGTCTTGAGCTGACCTTGCCGAAATGTCGAGGGTGCGAAGCTCATTCAATTACCCCGGAGGGTTGATGTTGTAGGTTTCTGCCGACCTAGTTGGTGGCCCTCTTGTGGTCGTTTCCGGGGTCTCGGATGTATCCTGGGCTATCTTGCGGCCGTAGTGAGCCGCGTTGGGGCCTTCTCGGGCAGTTTTCGAGGCATCTTGGGCCATCTTGGTGTCCCTGGTTGCCTGCATGGGCCGTCTCGGAAGCTCGGGACGCATCTCCACTGCGTTTTACGAGGGATCGGGCCTCGGGAGCGCGGCCCAATCGTTCTCTAGCGAGGGATCGCGGCCACGCGGCGGAATAGAACAGCGAATCCTTGCAAGACAGCCCTGTGGCATTCTGCCACGACGCGACCTGCACAAGGCACGGTGGCGGACTTCCAAGAACTGAACGTCACAGGGGCATGGGCGGAGGCTAAACGCCCCGGCGGTTTTCGCTTCCACGCGCAGGGCGGTGGCGGTGAGCGCCCTCAGTGGCTCAGTCTGGGGAACGTTCAGTTGAAAGTCGCCCATGGGCGCACGCCCGAAGGCACCTGTTTTTTGAACTTTTACGTCAAGAACCTGGTGCGCGCAGGGTTTCCCGTCGGAGGCTTGCTAGGCGAGGACGAGCACGGCGCAGAGCAGATTCCTCCGGAGGATTGCCACAGGCGCATCGATCTGCGACATTTAGCGCCTTAGACGTGATCGGCATGGCGCATCGTTCTGCCACATTCAGCGAATAATCTTGCGACGTTCAACCCCCCCACTGGGGAAGCTTCGAGCATGTGGGGCCCGAGATCGTTATATAATGCGCGATCTCCGTGGCGAAATAGTTGGAAACCAAACTTTTGTTGATTCTGTCATCGGCGCCTCGCCGTACGTTTGCGCTGTCCGTAAAAATTTTGCCTGCACTGGGGAGAAGCAGATGGGCACGGAAGTGGAGGTGATGGGCCTTTTGCTTTAACTGGGCTTGCGTGGCACTCGCAGATCGATCCGGCTCGAGAGGCACCGCGAAAAAGTGGAACCCAGGGCTCCAGTCGAAGCCTGACCCAGACCCAGATGGGGGCGCAGCCCCTGACCCAGGCCGCAGCCCCCGACTCCGACCCCAGCCCCTGAGCCAGGACTGGGCCTGCGTAGAGGGCTCATCTGACTTCTTGGAGAGGAGAATGTTGGCCAGCGTGGACCCCAACAGTACGTTTCTGGCAATCTATGTTGTGCTGTCTCTGTGGAGCAATCCATGTGGTGAAACCTACGTGTCCTCTCCACTGCTCGTGCAAACATCCTACCCTCCCACCCGAAACCTGGTCGCAATATTTCTTAAGACCGTGACGGTAGGTACCAAATTGCACTTGACAACGACACCGACGCCGACGACGGCAGCGACAACGACGACGACGACGCCGCAGACAACGACTACGACGACACCGACGGCGTCTCCAACGACTTCGACGACGACACCGACGACGACGACAACGACACCGACGACGCCGACGACGATGACGACGCCGACAACGCCGACGACGACGATGACAACGCCGACGACGACGACGACGCCGACGCCGACGACGACGACGACGCCGACGCCGACGACGACGACGACGACGACGACGCCGACGACGACGCCGACGACGACGACGACGACGACGTCGCCAACGAAGACGACGACGACGAGGGAGGATGGAGGACGACGACGGTGACAACGACGAGGGAGGAGGGAGGACGGCGACGACGCGAACGACGAAGAAGGAGGGAGGACGGCGACGCGGACGACGACGATGACGAGGGAGGAGGGAAGACGACGACGACGACGGCGACGAAACAGGAGGGACGACGGCGAGATGCCGACGACGGACGACGACGACGAGGGAGGAGGAATGACGACCACGGCGACAGCGACGACGGAAATGACGACGACGCCAAAGAGGACGACGACGACGACGAGGAAAAACAGAGGACGACGACGGCGACGACGACGACGATGAGGGAGGAGGGACGGCGACGACGACGACGCCAGAGCGCGGGCGCACATTTTTGTTGAAAATACGTGTTGCGAAACCCGGTGTTTCTCTATGTTTTTTTGACACTCGATTTTGAAATCCTTCCGAAACCGTAGGTTTTGAAGGATTTCGGTATGCGCGCGCGACGACGACGACGCGCGCGCGTTCACTTTTTTTCTTTTTCAAAGGGTTCTCGCGACGGCACGCGCGCAAGGGCGTTCGAACGATTTCGACATGCGCGCGCGCGAAGCCAGTTTGGAAGTTTTTTGGCAAAATTGAAGAAACTATGGTTTGCTGAAGATTTCGCAGAGGTGCGCGCGTAAGCTTTTTTTGAACATCAGTATTGCGAAACCTTGTGTTGTTCTATGTTTCTTGGAAGCTCGATCTTGAAACCCTTCCGGAACCAGAGGTTTTTGAAATATTTCGGCGTGCGCGCGCGACAACGCGCGCGCGCGCCCACTTCGCACCATTTGTTGCAAGGGATTCTCGAAAACTCATGATTTGTGATAAACGAGTGTGCGCACTATTTGTTTTTTGCAGAGGATGGGGGGGGCGATGCCAGTTTGGCTGGGATAGTATGAATTCACAGGTGGGATGGACATTGGGTCAGCACCCTATGTGTTTTGCATGGGTTCCCCGGGGGGTTTTATCCCCGGGGGGGAGGGTGGTACAACCTTTTTTCTTGTTTTAGAAAGGGGAATAGATGATGTACCATCTCTGTTGTGCACTATATGTTGTGCAAACATTGTGGAACACTCCGCGTGGTTCAGCCTACGTGGTGCATTTCTCCATGCCGAACGTGAAATTGTCGACTCCAGTGCTCGCGTAATCATCCCACCCACCCACCCGCAACTTGGTCTGCAAAACTCATGCGGAGGCGATTGTGATGAGTGCTTGGTGTTGGCTGGTGCATCGCTGCGGCCGCGCTAGCCCGCGCATGCTCGCGCGCGCAGCGGCCAGCTAGTTTGGCGCGATCGACGCGAACGCGGTATCATGGCTACGTCCGTAGAGGTAGACACGATGATGATAGTAGCGGTGCTGGTGACGATGTTGGGGAACGACGACGGCACGGCCAGTGACGGCGCCGATGCGGATCATGCCGGCGACGATGACGACGTCATCACGTCGGTGATGAAGGTTTTGGAAGGAGTTCGACGTGTGCGCGCGGCCGACGCGCGAAAGTGGCCCGTGTTTTTTTTGACACGGATCGTGCCCCCCCCCCCAACACGCGCACAAGGGCGTTCGAATGATTTCGGCGTGCGACGCGAGAGGCCTTTCCGACAAGTCAATGAACGTGTTACAAGACATGGTTTTCTCACAGATTCGCAAATGCGCGAGCGCAGGGTTTTGTGAAACTTGACGTTGCGTAACCATGTGTTTTAATATGGTTTTGCGACATTCGTCATCCTGTTCCTCTTTGTCGTCCTCGTCGTCTGTCGTCGGCCTCGTCTCCATCCTCGTCCTCATCCTCGTCCTCGTTCTTGTCGTCATCGTCGTCTTCATCGTCGTCCTCGTCGTCGTCCTCGTCGTCGTCGCCGGTGGAGGTCTGGTAGGGCCTCCAGGCGCCTCCAGAGGCTTCCGCAGACCTGCTGAGGCCTCCGGAGACGTCTGGAGATCTTGAAATGCGACCGTCGTCGTAGTCGTAAACGCCATCGTCGTCGTTGTCGTCGTCGTTGTGGTGGTCGTCGTCGTCGTCGTTGTGGTCGTCGTCGTCCTTCTCGACGGCGTCGTCGTCGTTATCGTCGTCGTGATCGTCGGCGTCGTCCTGTCCGAGGGCCTCGAAGGGCCTCCAGCTGCCCTCAGAGGCTTCTGCAGACCTTCTGAGGCCTCTTAGACCTTTCGAGTCCTGTGGTGGCCGTCGTTTTCGTCACTGTCGTCGTTGTCGTCGTTGTCGTCGTCATTGTCGTCGTCGTCGTCGTCGTCGTGGTCGTCGTCGTAATCCTCGTCGTCGTCGTGGTCGTCGTCGTCGAAGCCGTCGTCGTTATCGTCGTCGCCGTCGTCGTCGTCTTCGTCGTGGAAGCCCCAGGGAGACCGTCAGGGGCGGCCGTCGTCATCGTCGTCGCCATCGTCGTTGTCGTCGACCGTCGTCGTCGTGGTCGTGGTCGTGGCCGTGGTCGACGTCGTGGTCGTGGTCGTGGTCGTCGCCGTCGTCGTGCAGATGGGGCCCATAGACGCTGGCACAGTGGGGCCCACAGATGGTCCAACGCGATGCGACAGCAGCGGCTTGCGCGCGCGCTCCAGGCCGGCCTCCCCGCGGCCCCCGAACGTCGCGCACCACAGGTCACCCTGGCCTAGGGTCACTCTCACGTGCAGCCGGTTTCAGGAGTCGGCCAGAGCAGCACGGAGACGACGGGGCCGGTGCCCGACAGCGGTGTCCGCCCCCTCTGAGCAGGGCATTCGCCGCCCTGTGGCGCCGCGGGCGTTCTCCGTATTTGGGGCGAGCGTCATCTGCCCAGCGATGGGGGCAGTCGGTTTGGGCATCGCTCCCAGCCGTTGCCGTCCCTACTCCGGGTGTGCCAACTGACGTTGCCATCGTCGTATTCGTCATCGTCGTCATCTTCGTGCTCCGCGAGCATGATTCGGCGGCGGGCGAGGGGGGGGGAAGTGAGAAGGGGAAGGCCTTCGCAGCAGGCGGCGGGTCTTCTCGGAAGCCCTCTGGCCTTCTGAGAAGTTGCTGGTGCTTACGGGGAAGGCTTAGAACGCTTCTCAGAAGGCCGGGGGACTTCCGAGCCTTCTGAGAAGGCCCGCCCCTTCTCACTCCCCCCCGGGCTCGCCGCCGAGTCATCGTCGTCATCTTCGTGCTCCGTGTGCATGGGCCCGAGCACTCTACGCATAGCCACCCACCCCGCCCACCTACAGCCTACGTATCACACACTTTTTTTAGTCCACCGGCCGCGGGCCGCCAGAGGCGATATGCGGTGCTCCGTGCGGGCCCTCGTCCTGCTCTGCTGCTGCGCCGACCGGCGCGCCACCGCCCTCTCCGCCAGGAGCTCGGACCTCGACCAGGAGCGCAGCAGTCTCTTCGACGGCGGCAGCGCCGACAGCAACTCCAGCACCCTCGCCGCCCGCGGGGCCACGCCAGCCGCCTCGTGGACCAGTCTGGGCTCGGGAGACTGTCTCACCTCCTCGGGGGTGACCCCCCTGCGCTACTACAACGGCGCTGCGGGAGGCGCCATGAGCGACGACGAGTGCAAGGCTGCCTGCGAGGGGTTCTCGTGGTGCGAGGCGCTTTCACGGAACCATCACCAGGTGTGTGGAGGTAAGTGTTGCGTTCTGTACGTCGGTTACGACGGCCCCGATCCAGGGGTCATTTCCGGTTGGGGCCAGCAGTTGGTTGGCAACCCCACGAACATCGGGGATACGACGGCGGGGGGTTCATTACCAGTGGGCTGCACCAGGATCACCCGCCCGGTGTCTGCTTCCGCAGTTGGAGATCCGCATCTGCAAAACATCTACGGACAGCGCTTCGACCTGATGAAGACAGGCAGGCACGTTCTCATCAACGTCCCAAAGGGAAACGTTGAGAACACGCTGCTTCGAGTAGACGCAGACGCGGAGAGGTTGGGTGGACAGTGTGCTGACATATATCAAGTTGCTTGTCGCAAGCCCCGCCACCGTGCCAGCCCAGCATTCCGGTCGGCGACTTTCCAAGGGGACACGGGAGGCCGTTATGTGCGCCACTTTGTGTCTACAGGATGGACAGAATTGTGATGAGGATGACGTTGGTAAGGATGATGGGGATGATGTTGGTATTGGTGATGATGGTGTTGGTGATGGTGGTGATGATGTTGATGAGGAGGAGGAGGAAAAGTAAGTGGATGACGATGACGATGTTGATGATGATACTGGTGATGACGATGCCGATGCCGATGATTATGATGATGATGATGATGATGATGATGATGATGATGATGATGATGATGATGTGGCTGGGGATACGGGTGACGATGAGGATGATGATGAGGATGAGGACGACGACGATGATGACGATGACCAGGACGATAGCGACGATGATGACGATGATGATGACGATGATAGTGATAATGATCATGATGATGATGAGGATGATCAGGATCATGATCATGATGATGGAGATGATGTCGATGGTGAGGATAATTATGATGTTGATTATGATGACGATGATGATGCGGATGACGACGACAATGACGATGATGATGGTCATGATCAGGATGATCGTGATCATGATGATGACGATAATGATGATGGCGATGACAATGGTGATGATGCTGATGAGGATATTGATGCTGCTGACTATGATGCTGCTGATGATGCATGATGGTGGTGGTGATGATGACAACGATGACGAATGTCGTGATGATGAGGATGATGATGACGATGATGACGTTATTGATCCTGCTGCTGTTGATGATGATGATGATCGTGGGGGTGGTTGTGGTGGTGATGGTGGTTGTGGTGATGATGATGCTGGTGATGATGATGCTGATCATGATGATGATAATGGTGGATGATACCCATGATGATGATGTTGATGATAATGGTGGTGATGCTGATCATGCTGATGATGATGGTGATGATGACGGTGCTGTTGACAACCATGGTGATGGTGGTGGTGGTGGCGGTGATGGTGGTGGCGATACTGTTGATGCTGCTGATGATGATTCTAATACTGATGACGACGATGACGACGATACTGATGATGCTGATGATGCTGCTGATGGCGATGTTGCTGCCGATGATGATAACGACGATGATTATGATGACGATGATGCTGGTGCTGATGGTGATGATGCTGATGTTGATGATGAGGGGGAGGAGAAGGAGGAGGCGGAGGAGGATGAGAAGGAGCAGCAACATGAGGAGGAGCAGGAGGACGAGTAAGGCCGTCACTTTCGACACGCTTCCGCTTCATTGATTGTGCAGTTCTCATGGAGCTCGTTCGGACCATTGGGATTTTCTTGGCCTCATGTGAACCAGTCCTGGGTGGTCCTTGGGGTTTTCTTGGGCCGTCGTGAGGCCCTCTTCTGCCGTCGGGGGGCTCTCTGTTTTGGAATCTCTGGGCCCTCTTGGCCGTATGGCAAGTGTCTGGGGGCCTTCTAAGGCCGTCTTGGGTCCGACGGGAGGGCCTCTTGGGCCGTCTTGGGGCCGTCTGGGATGCTTCTTTGGCAGTCGTGGGACCTCTTTGTCCATCTTGGGATCGTCTTGGGGGCCTCTTGGGCCGTCTTGGGGCTATCGTGGAGGCTTCCTGGGGTGTCTTGAGCTGACCTTGCCGAAATGTCGAGGGTGCGAAGCTCATTCAATTACCCCGGAGGGTTTATGTTGTAGGTTTCTGCCGACCTAGTTGGTGGCCCTCTTGTGGTCGTTTCCGGGGTCTCGGATGTATCCTGGGCTATCTTGCGGCCGTAGTGAGCCGCGTTGGGGCCTTCTCGGGCAGTTTTCGAGGCATCTTGGGCCATCTTGGTGTCCCTGGTTGCCTGCATGGGCCGTCTCGGAAGCTCGGGACGCATCTCCACTGCGTTTTACGAGGGATCGGGCCTCGGGAGCGCGGCCCAATCGTTCTCTAGCGAGGGATCGCGGCCACGCGGCGGAATAGAACAGCGAATCCTTGCAAGACAGCCCTGTGGCATTCTGCCACGACGCGACCTGCACAAGGCACGGTGGCGGACTTCCAAGAACTGAACGTCACAGGGGCATGGGCGGAGGCTAAACGCCCCGGCGGTTTTCGCTTCCACGCGCAGGGCGGTGGCGGTGAGCGCCCTCAGTGGCTCAGTCTGGGGAACGTTCAGTTGAAAGTCGCCCATGGGCGCACGCCCGAAGGCACCTGTTTTTTGAACTTTTACGTCAAGAACCTGGTGCGCGCAGGGTTTCCCGTCGGAGGCTTGCTAGGCGAGGACGAGCACGGCGCAGAGCAGATTCCTCCGGAGGATTGCCACAGGCGCATCGATCTGCGACATTTAGCGCCTTAGACGTGATCGGCATGGCGCATCGTTCTGCCACATTCAGCGAATAATCTTGCGACGTTCAACCCCCCCACTGGGGAAGCTTCGAGCATGTGGGGCCCGAGATCGTTATATAATGCGCGATCTCCGTGGCGAAATAGTTGGAAACCAAACTTTTGTTGATTCTGTCATCGGCGCCTCGCCGTACGTTTGCGCTGTCCGTAAAAATTTTGCCTGCACTGGGGAGAAGCAGATGGGCACGGAAGTGGAGGTGATGGGCCTTTTGCTTTAACTGGGCTTGCGTGGCACTCGCAGATCGATCCGGCTCGAGAGGCACCGCGAAAAAGTGGAACCCAGGGCTCCAGTCGAAGCCTGACCCAGACCCAGATGGGGGCGCAGCCCCTGACCCAGGCCGCAGCCCCCGACTCCGACCCCAGCCCCTGAGCCAGGACTGGGCCTGCGTAGAGGGCTCATCTGACTTCTTGGAGAGGAGAATGTTGGCCAGCGTGGACCCCAACAGTACGTTTCTGGCAATCTATGTTGTGCTGTCTCTGTGGAGCAATCCATGTGGTGAAACCTACGTGTCCTCTCCACTGCTCGTGCAAACATCCTACCCTCCCACCCGAAACCTGGTCGCAATATTTCTTAAGACCGTGACGGTAGGTACCAAATTGCACTTGACAACGACACCGACGCCGACGACGGCAGCGACAACGACGACGACGACGCCGCAGACAACGACTACGACGACACCGACGGCGTCTCCAACGACTTCGACGACGACACCGACGACGACGACAACGACACCGACGACGCCGACGACGATGACGACGCCGACAACGCCGACGACGACGATGACAACGCCGACGACGACGACGACGCCGACGCCGACGACGACGACGACGCCGACGCCGACGACGACGACGACGACGACGACGCCGACGACGACGCCGACGACGACGCCGACGACGAGGTCGCCAACGAAGACGACGACGACGAGGGAGGATGGAGGACGACGACGGCGACAACGACGAGGGAGGAGGGAGGACGGCGACGACGCGAACGACGAAGAAGGAGGGAGGACGGCGACGCCGACGACGACGATGACGAGGGTGGAGGGAAGACGACGACGACGACGGCGACGAAACAGGAGGGACGACGACGAGATGCCGACGACGGACGACGACGACGAGGGAGGAGGAATGACGACCACGGCGACAAAGACGACGGAAATGACGACGTCGACGACGAGGAAAGACGGAAGACGACGACGGCGACGACGACGACGACGATGAGGAAGGAGGGGCGGCGACGACGAAGACGACGCCTGAGCGCGTGCGCACGTTTTTGTTGAACATACGTGTTGCGAAACCCGGTGTTTTTCTATGTATTTTGACACTCGATTTTGACATCCTTCTGAAACCGTAGGTTTTGAAGGATTTTTGCATGCGCGCGCCACGACGCGCGCGCGTTCACTTCTGTTTTTCTTTTGCAAAGGATTCTCGCGACGGCACGCGCGCAAGGGCGTTCGAACGATTTCGACATGCGCGCGCGAAGCCAGTTTGGTAGTATCTTTTTGACAAAATTGAAGAACCTATGGTTTGCTGAAGATTTCGCAAAAGTGCGCGCGTAAGCTTTTTTAGAAAATCAGTATTGAGAAACCATGTGTTTCTATGTTTTTTGGAAACTCGATCTTGAAATTCTCCCGAAACCGAAGGTTTTTGAACGGTTTCGGCGCGCACGCGCGACAACGCGAGCGCGCCCACTTCGCCCCATTTGTTGTAAGGGGTTCTTGAACACTTATGATCTGTGATTAATGAGTGTGCGCGCTAGTTGTTTTTTGCTCAGGATGGGGGGGGCGATGCCAGCTTGGCTGGGATAGTATGAATTCACAGGTAGGATGGACATTGGGTCAGCACCCTATGTGTTTTGCATGGGTTCCCGGGCGGGGTTTACCCCGGGGGGGAGGGTGGTACAGCTTACTTGTTATTTTAGAAGGGGGGAATAGATGATGTGCCAGCTCTGTTGTGCGCTATATCTTGTGCAAACACTGTGGAACACTACACGTGGTTCAACCCATGTGGTGCAATTCTCCATGCCGAACGTGAAATTGTCGACTTCAGTGCTCGCGCAATCATCCCACCCACCCACCCGCAACTTCGTTTGGACAACGCATGCGGAGGCGATAGCCCGCGCATGCTCGCGCGCGCAGCGGCCAGCAGTTTGGCGCGATCGACGCGAACGCGGTACCATGGCAACGTCCGTAAAGGTAGACACGATGATAATAGTAGCGGTGCTGGTGACGATCTTGGGGCAACGACGACGGCACGGCCAGTGACGGCGCCGATGCTGATCATGCCGGCGGCGATGACGGCGTCATCACGTCGGTGATGAAGGTTTTAGAAGAAGTTCGGCATGTGCGCGCGGCCGACACGCGAGAATGGCCCGCGTGGTTTTCTTTGACACGGATCGTGCCCCCCCCCAGAACTTGCACAAGGGCCTTCTAATGATTTCGGCGTGCGGCGCGAGAGTTCCGACATAAGCCAATGAACGTGTTACAAAACGTACGTCTTTCTCACGGATTCGCAAAAGCGCGAGCGCAGGGTTTTGTGAAACGTGATGTTGCGAAACCGTGTGTTTCACTATGGTTTTGCGACACTCGGCTTTGCCATTCGTGCGAAACCCAAGGTCTTCGTCGGATCTCCGCAAGCGTGCGCGACGACGTGCGCGTGCGCACCTCGCCCCATGTTCTGCAACAACGTTTTTGGCGACAGCACGCGCGCTCGAACGATTTCGACATGCGCGCGCGAAGCCCTTTTTGGCAACACTTTACGAACAGAGGTTGAAACATTTGTGGTTTCCCACAAAAATCGCAAGGGCAGGACCGCAAGCTGTTTTTGAACATTATGTTTGCGAAACTGTTTGTTGTTAAATTTGCTTGGGGCGGTCGTTTTTGGCATCTTTACGAAGCCGCTTCTCTCATACATGTCTATATGTACATATGTCTATATGGTAATATATAACTGTAAATGCACATTACACACATATCCGTAAGGGCTTCGCCCCCTGCCGCCGGCCCCCTCTCTCGGAGAATGGGTCATGGAAGAGCTAAGTCATGAGGCTTTGGCGCTGTCGTGCAGCAGTATCGGAACTTCATGGAGGCCGATTCGCAATCGGCAAAACCAATTGATCACAAGAGGGGTTACCACACAGGGCGATTGGTAAGACGTGTATGGTTTACGAGCTTGGTTGCCACACCTTGGGATTAAAGGGCCGAGGGAGTACTCGCAGTTTGGGTTACCACGCCTTGCGATGGATGTGCGTGAGGGGTGGCACCGAATTTCAGAAATGTGCCAAATCCCCTGTGTTTTTGGACCCTGACCCCGCGGATCTGCGTGAGGGGTGGCACCGAATTTCAGAAATGTGGCAAATCCCGTGTGTTTGTGGACCCTAACCCCGCGGATCTGCGTGAGGGGTGGCACCGAATTTCAGAAATGTGGCAAATCCCATGTGTTTTTGGACCCTGACCCCGCGGATCTGCGTGAGGGGTGGCACCGAATTTCAGAAATGTGGCAAATCCCTTGTGTTTTTGAACCCTGACCCCGCGGATCTGCGTGAGGGGTGGCACCGAATTTCAGAAATGTGGCAAATCCCTTGTGTTTTTGGACCCTGACCCCGCGGATCTGCGTGAGGGGTGTCGATTTTGAGCCCCCCCAGCAATTCAGACAACGCGCCCAGGTGGTGCTAAAAATCTGGTTTGGGCCTCCCTCCCCTCGCGCGGTCAATCAACTAGTTACAGTAACCAGCAAGAAGCAGAACTGTAACACTGGAAACTACAAACTACAACTGGTACAGGAAACTGCGAATCACGGGCCTACAGCCTGGTGGCCCCACAAGGGGGCCGGCGGATATATATATATATATATATATTATATATATATATATATATATATATATATATATATATATATATATGTATATATATATGTATATATATGTCCATCTGATATATATATATATATATGTGTGTATATCCATATGATATGATATATATATATATATATATATATAAGACTGCAGCGGCGCTTCGCGCCATGTACCTTGGTCCTTGGAAATTGGTATGCGGGCGGAATGGCAGGAAGGTCAAGCCGACAATTTAGCGATATTTCCTGGTTGCCTTTTTCCGGCATCGCCGCTATGATGATGTTATTCGTTACCTTCCTTCATGTTTATTGTTCCTTATTTTCGCCATACCCAGCGCATTCTCCCCATCCTCCTCAGCTCTTTTTTGCGGAGGTTCCTCCTTGGAGAGCCTCTAGGGGCCTCATAAAAGTTGTTTCGAGTTTTCTTAAGGCTTTCTGGAGGCCTCCTGGGGGTATTCTGGGGGCCTCCGGGGGTTTCCTCGGGCCACCCTGCCTCCAACCGCCGTCTCCCTGAACGACCGAATCACGATTTGGAATTTTTCGGAGGATGTCTTCGGGCCATCTTGGGCCGCCATGGGGCTCTCTGAGGGCCATCTTGGACCCGTGTTGTGCCGTTTGGGGGCTCTCTTGGACTGGCTGGAAGCCCTTTCGGATGGTTGTGGGGCGATTTGGGAGCCTCCCAGGCGGCTTCGGACGCCCAGAAAACCTGCCGTCTTGGAGCGTCGGGAAGCCGAAAAGAGGAGAACCCCAAAATTCACCGAAAACCAACAGAAAATCAATGATGTTTACCTCGGGGGGCCTTCTTGGGAGTGCTCTTGGAGGCCTCTTTGGGGCCGTCCTGGAAGCCTCTTGGGCCATCTTGAGGTCACGTCGGTCACTCTTGGAACGCTCTTGTGCTGTCTTGGGGGTCTCTGGGACGTCTCCGATGACCCCCCTGATCGCCCCAAGTGTGCTGGGAAGGCTTGGCAAAACGCCTTGCGGGGCCCGGTGGCCGCTTCGAGGCCCGTCCGGAGGGCCCCAAAGCCCCAGGTCCCTGGAGTTCGGTTTTTTTGGGGGGGTGACGGTTTTCCCCCC